GTTGAAGTCTCCAGCTATTATTATATTGGACCTATCTCTTTCTTTAGCTCTGATCATATTTGCCTTATATATCTGGGTGCTCCAGTGTTGGGTGCATATACATTTAAAATTGTTGTATCTCTTGCTGAATTGACCCCTTTATATTAATATAGTGACCTTGTTTGTCTCTTCATATAGTTTTTTTCTTGAAATCTATTTTGTCTGATATAAGTACAGCTACTCTTGCTCTTTTTAGGTTTCCACTGGCATGGAATACCTTTTTACATCCCTGTGTTTTCATAGGTAAAGTATGTTTCTTGTAGGCAACAGGTCATTGGGTCTTTTTTTTTAAAAAAAAATCCATTCAGCCACTCTATGTCTTTTGATTGAAGAACTTACTCCAGTTACAATCAATGTTATTATTGATAAGTAGGAATATATTTGAGCCAGTTTGTTATTTGTTTCCTGATGGCTTTGTGATCTTCTCTTCCTTATTTCTTTTTCTCCTATCTTCCTTTTAGTGAAGGTGATTTTCTCTGGTGATACAATTTAGTTTTTTGCTTTTTATTTTGTGTGTATCTGTTGTATGTTTTTTTTTGGTTTGAGGTTACCATGAGACTTGCAAATACTATCTTATAACCCATTATTTTAAGCTGATAACTATTTAATACTGTTTGCATAAACAAACAAACTAGCCAACACACAAATAACAAAGACTTTATGCCTTAATTTAGATCCCCTGCTTTTTAACTTTTTATTGTTTCTATTTATATCTTATTGTACTGGCTTTGTCTTGAATAGTTTTTGTAGTTGTTGTTTTTGATTGGTTCGTCATTTAGTCTTTCTACTTAAGATAAGAGTAGTTTACACAATACATTTACTGTGTTACAATATTCTGTGTTTTTCTATGTATTTCCTATTATCAGTGAGTTTTGTATCTTCTTATCTCTTATTGTATTAACGTCATTTTCTTTCTGATTGAAGTACTCCCTGTAGCATTCCTTGTAGGACAGGTCTGGTGTTGTGAATTCTCTCAGCTTTTGTTTGTCTGAGAAAGTCTTCATTTCTCCTTCATGTTTGAAATACATATTCGCTGGATGTACTATTCTGGGGTAAATATTTTTTCCTTCAGCAATTTAAATATGTCATACTACTCTTTCCTGACCAGTAAGGTTTCCAATGAAAAGTCTGCTGCCAGATGTATTGGAGCTCCAATGTATGTCATTTGTTTCTTTTCTCTTGTTGCTTTTAGGATCTTTCCTTTATTTTTGACCTTTGGGAGTTTGAATATCAAATGCCTTGAGGTAGTCTTCTTTGGGTTAAATTGGCTTGGTGTTCTTTTACCTTCTTGTACTTGGATATTGATATCTTTCTCTAGGTTTGGAAAGTTCTCCATTATTATCCCTTGAATGAAACTCTTTTACCTCTATCTCTTTCTCTATTTCCTCTTTAAGGCCCAAAACTCTTAATTTGCCTTTTTTAGGCTATTTTTTAAATCTTGTAATTGTGCTTCATTTTTTTCTTATTTTTTCTTCTTTTGTTTCATCTGACTGTGAATTTTCAAATACGCTATCTTCAGACTCACTAATTTTTTCCTCTGTTTGATTACTTCTGCTATTTAAAAACTCTGATGCATTCTTCAGTATGCCAATTGCATTTTTCAACTCCAGAATTTCTGCATAATTCTTTCTAATTATTTCTATCTGTTAAATTTACCTGATTGCATTCCGTATTCCTTCTCTGTCTTGTCTTGAATTTCTTTGAATTTCTTCAACATAGCTATTTTGAATTACCTGTTTTAAAGTTCACATCTCTTTCTTTGTCCAGGATTGGTCCCTGGTGCCTTATTTTGTTCATTTGATGAGGTCACATTTTTCCTGGATGTTGTTAATACTTGTAGATGTTCTTCAGTGTCTGAGCTTTAAAGAGTTAGGTATTTATTGTAGTTTTCTCAATATGGGCTTATTTGTACCCATCCTTCTTGGGAAGACTTTCCAGATATTCAAAAGGACTTGAGTGTTGTGATCCAAGCTCTATCTGCTTTAAGGGGGCACCCAAGGCCCAATAACACTGTGGGTCTTGCAGATTCATAGAGTACCACCTTGATGGTCTTGGACAAGATCTGGAAGAATTCTCTGGATTACCAGACAGACTCTTGTTCTCTTTCCTTACTTTCTCCAATGTGAATGAAGTCTCTCTCTCTCTCTCTCTCTCTCTCTCTCTCTCTCTTCTAAGACACTTGAAACTGGGGATGGTGTAACACAAGCATCTCTATGGCCAACACTACTAGAACAGTGCTGGGTCAGACCCAAAGCCAGCACAGCCCTGGGTCTCACCCAAGGCCTGCTGTAACCACTCCCTGGCTATGACCTATGTCCATTCAAGGCCATAGGACTCTACTATCAGCAAGTGGCAAAGCCAGCCAGGCCAGTATCCTTCCCTTCAGGGTGGTAAGTTCCCCCCACCCCTGGGCATGTCCAGGGTGCCTTCTGGGAGCCAGGGACTAGAGTCAAAAACTTTAGAAGTCTACCTGACTTTCTATTGTACTGTGCCTGAGCTGGCACTGAAACCAGAAGATGCAGTCCTTCCCTTTTCCAAAGGCAGAGGAGACTCACCCCATGGCCATCACTGCCACAGGCCCATGGGAGTACTGCCAGACTACCATTGATACTCCCCTAAGGCCCAAGGGCTCTTTCGTCAGCATGCGGTGAATTTTGCCTGGCCTGAGATTCACCCTTTAGGGTGAATAGGCTCCCTTCTGGTCCAGGGAAGGTCCAGAAATGCCACCCAAGGGTCAAGTCCTAGTTGGAGACCCCAAGAGCCCACTTGGTGCTCTATCCCCCTTTGGCCAAACTAGTACCTAAAGTGCAGGACAAAGTCCCTTTTGCGTTTCCCTCTGCTTTTCTTAAAGGAAAGGAGTCTCATAGCTACCATAGCTAGAAATATGCTGAGCCTCATCTGAGCCCAGCACATCTTAGAGTCTTACCCAAACCCTTCGACATAGTACCTAGGTATTGCTGCTGGTTCTTCAGGGCCCAAGGGTTCTTTCGTTAGCAGGTGACGAATCCTGCCAGAACTGGGTCCTTCCCTTCACGGAACCAGGGAGGGTCCCTTTTGGCCCAGGGTGTGTTTAGAAATATCATCCAGGAACTAAGACCTGGAAAGAGGGCCTCATGACTCTGACCAGTGCCCTATCCTGCTGTGGCTGAGCTTGTATCCAAGATGCAAGACAAAGTCCTTCCCACTATTCCATCCTCTCTCCTCAAATGGAGGGAATGGTTCTCTTTTGGGGCTATGAGTTGTGCAGCCTGGGCTTAGGGGAGAGGTGATGAGAGTACTCTCTCAGTTGGTGTCTCAGTAGGTTACATGTCCCCTCCAATCCACTCTCTCTGCACCCAGTTCAGCACTGGGGCTCACCTAAGTGTTTCAATCCTTGTTGCCTAGCCTGCCTGTCAAGTTTATTTGGAGCCACAGTGCACTTTAGCCCATGGTGGTGAGGCTCGCAGGAACACAAGGTTGGACCACTGGGATAGATTATTCTCCTCTGATTACGGCTGTTTTATATACTCCCTCCGTGTCAGCTAAGTTTAGTCTATGTTTGTTTTCTGTTATAATAGGGCAGCACTGAGTTTAGTGCCTCAAAAATACTGTCATATCTCTCTGCCCAGCACACCAAAATATTCTTTGCACCACACCGCTGCTTCTGGGCATGGGGGAGCCATGGTGCCAGTGATTCAGGACTGTTTCTCCTACCTTTTCAGTGCCTCCCTCAGTGATATAAAGTTAAAACCAGATACTGTGAGTTCTCACGTTATTTTTGGTTCTTATGAAGGTGATCATTTTGTGTAGATGTTAAATTGGTGTCCTTTGGCGAGGGGGACAATCAGTGGAGGCTTCTATTCTGTTATCCTGGTCCACTCCTCCCCAAATGAATGTTAATAATACACTAAATGGTCAGACTTCACCACTGTACATATATTCATGTAACAAAACTGTACTTTGTACCCCCTAAATTTATACAAATAAAAAATATAATAGAAAATGATTATTTGAGAATATTTTATTGGCATTGCCAGTGATGATTGATTAGATTGTGAAATCAATTTAGGAGACAGGGTAAATGTTTTTTTTTTAAAGTGGAATAGAATTGTATAGCATAGAGTATAATAGAGTAGAAAATATTAGATTTCATTACATTTTGTAATGGTAAGTATTGTTTTATGAAACTTCTGTTTCAATTTTTGTATGTATTTGGTTTTATATGTATGGAGCTGTGATGTATAACATATTTCCTACTGTGAATTGTGGTCAAGGTAGAGAAACTGCTAGAGGGTGTTTTTCATGAAGCCCTGTTTTCATGGAAAAGGTTAATGGTGCTCTATGACTATACTCTAGTTCAGGCAAAAGCATTAGACAAATTCTTTGAGCACATTATGTTTGGGAACATCAGTCTGTATTTGAAACAGCCACAGACTGAAGCACCAGTCATGTATTCTGTCATTTCTTTTAAGAACATGCTAGTGAATGTTCAGCTTGATCAGAAAACTATAGTTTCTGAATATTTGGTGTCATAACTTTGAGTCATCTCTCACATTTCTAAAAATGATCAAATGAATCCAGAATAGTGGTTCTCAATAGTGGATAATTTTATACCTTAGGGGACTTTTGCCAAGTCGGGAGATATTTTTGATTATAATAATTTGAGAAAAGGGGTATGCTACAGGCATCTAGTGGGATGCTGCTAAGTATTCTACAATGAACAGGATAGCCCTTCACAATAAAACATTATCCAGACCAAAATATTAATAGTGCCAAATTTGTGAACTCAACTTCAGAGTGATCCCAACTAGTTATTTAAAAGAAATGTGATTTTAATGACAACTGAAAGATTCATGATATTGGCCCAAAACGAACTCAGTCATATTGTTTGTAGAATACTCTGATCACCAACTTTATTAGATTAAAAATGACATATCAATCAATATCTGCTTACATGTGACCCAAAATGAAATGCTGCACCAAATAGTTTAAAAATACAAAGTTTATAATTCTAAGATCATTTCCTGAATCTGAACATCCAAAGTCAGCATTAAATTTTACCACCACAATATAGAATAATTTATATGCCTATGTATATTTATATATGAAGAAGAAACTTTGCCTTGAAGTGAATTCAGAGAATTGGCAGCCAGCTGCCTAAATGAATCTCATCATTTAAAATTCTTATCTTAAGAGTTTTCTACCTTAATACAGGTTCAATAGCTCTGACTTAAAATTTTATAGATCTGTTGATTCAACAAAAATAGGCAATAATAAAGATACTTTACAAGAAAAAGGGAAGGTGAAACTGGTGCCTGTGTTCTAGGCCCATTGGTGATGCAGACTACCTATTGCTTCTCTGAGTCATTTATATATAACAAATATATAGTTTTCTGGCTTCAGTTCTTTTAAACATAACATAAGTGTATTGGCCTATGTGACATGCAATCTCTTCTAAGCTTTAAAATTCTATGAGTCTAAATTATGAATCAAGTGTTTTATGAATGAACTGCGTATCTCTTTCGGATATTTTAGGTTTATTTTCGTGACTTCTCAATAGTACATGAGGGAAATTATTATAAAGCAAGTTCATCATTCCAATGATTTGTCTTATATTTAGATTACATGAGTAAATGACTCCCCAGTCTGCAGACTGTAATGTTTCACAAGCATTGCCAAGCGGAATAACTGCTTCCACAAAGCCTTAATTTAATTGTATTACAAAATACAATAAAACATTATCCAGACCAAAATATAAATAGTGCCAAGTTTGTGAACTCAGCTTCAGAGTGATCCAAACTAGTTATTTAAAAGAAATGTAATTTTAATGACAGTTGAAAGATTCATGATGTTGGCCTTACTCTCCTAATGACTTCAGGAGACACGTTGCTTATGGAGTATGTTTTCTCTTTTGAACCACTTTGTTTATGTGGTCCAAAAGAGAAAACATCCTATTTGTTATATGTTATAACCACATGTGTTATATGCAGTAGGTGCTCAAATTTTATATTTATTTTCAAATTTTTCTAAAACTAGGGTTTTATGGTTGCAATAGTTGGGACATTGCCATAAGCTTTATAAGCTATTTGGCTGTAGAAATGCAAGGGCATACAATTTTTCTTGCTACAGAGGAAGACAATATTCTTTGATTTTTCAAGGTATTAGTGAATTCTTATTTTTTTCAGGCATTTAACCATACAATAATAATGTACAAAATTTCCCCCTTGTGGTCAAAATGTGTAAGTGCATCTATGAAATGTCAAATTTCTTGTGCCTGTGTTTTGGGACTTATGAAATCACCATCACCTTCTCCCAAATTTTTAACAAATATATAGTTTTGATCAACTAATCACTCTTTCTATATATCATTCATTAATCTGGATTTTTCTGGTTATATATGTGGGATAGGAATAGCTATGTGAGTGTGCTTGTGTGTGTGTTTGTGTGTGTGTGTGTAGAAAAGTCAACAAAAAATTAGAGGCTTTATAACTAAAAAATGTTAGAAGATCTCTGACTTGCTTTACTATCAGACTTTGTTTCCTACATATGGCTTTCTTTTATTTGTGTCCCTCAAATGGGTTTAGAAGTAGAAAATTCATTTTTTATGGTGGAAAAGTGCTTTGGAAAATCTGATTGAATAAGGAAAAAGAAAAAAATATTTGTGAGCTCTAGAGAAACCTAGGGAATTATACAAGGGTTTCTTGAACACTATGTGAGTTCAAAAATGTCTCAGTTAAAAGGAGATCCCCTTGATAAAGACATTTTAAAAATCTCATGGACTAACTTCAAAAATATGTATTGAGTCTCATTTGTACTTCAACATTCATGATTTAAAGAGCTAGGTATCTCTATTGTATGTTTCAAGCCAGATCTATTACTTTACAAATAAAAGTCCCTTATAAATTGGCTAAGGATTATTGGTTGATTAAAGTGATTCTAAATAACTTACGTTGTATGTTTCATGTTGCTAGATCCAGTAATTTAATATCACTTTGTTGTACTACACCCATTAGATAGTTGAATTCTCACGCATATATGACCTGCATACAGCTCTCTTGGTTTAACTTTTATGGCAAATTAGAGGCCTGTTTTTGAAGCAATCCAGTTTCGGTAATAAGTCACTTGTGTGTAGACTCCAGGCTTGTCCCTTTGACCACAGTTATCTCCCCAGCTCACAATTCCAATGAGATACCAGGTGTCTTTCAGATCCCTTGTGACTAAAGGTCCCCCAGAATCACCCTGAAAATAAAAACGTAAGAAAAGAGAAAGAAAATTAGCTAAACATAAAGCTCATTATTTAAGATATTTTGATGAATCACATATTTTGTTACTAGGCAGTACGTGTATAGATTATCAACTCAGAATAATTAATTGAGACATGGATTTTAAAATTACAAAGAGCCTTAAGGTTTAACTTTCACATTTAAAAAATAAAGTTTATTTTGTTAGAATAAACAGCACTTAGTTAAAAAAGACAAAAACGAAAGAACATGAAGAGGCTTGAAAAGCAATTATGTCCCATGTTTTCTCACACAGGCTGTTCTCCAAGAGGTAGCCACTTCATGCTTGTTTAATAATTTCTTATAGTGTCTAACTCCTTATCATTGGATAATATGCTCAAATTACAGTTTCTAGATTTAGACAGTAAACATTTATTTTTTCTTATGTAGTTAGTTATTTAGTTGTTTTACAACTTCTTTGCAACTTTTCCACACCACATCTTTACATTATAGTATCTCTATTTTTGGTTAAATTAACAGCCTATGTTTAATACCAGTTGGAAAATTTTATTAATGGAAGAGTCAAGTAACATATTTGCATTACAGAAATCTTTTTTGGCTCTCCTAGAATTAATAACACAACTTTTTTTTCATGTGGATAGTTTTCTATGTACCTGGTAAATGTTGAATGCTCCAAAAGATCTACCAACACCTCACAATAATCTTTACTAATGTTCAAGGACCTCAGATGGCTTGTTAGTTCTTTTGCTTCCTCTGAAACAGTTCCACCATATCAACACACACACACACACACACACACACACACACACACACACTCTTTTCTTACTTCTGCTCAAATTCGAGCTGGTTATTTTAAGCCTGGTGCAGAGCTATGATGTTGGGATTATATGATACCACTCTTTAGTGTTGGATTAACAGTTTCAGGTCTTATGTCTTCCACTTTCTTGATTTATTCCCTAATTTTGCTGAGGTACCCCCTCAAGTAGTTTTCTAAGAAAGAGGGTATCAGAAGTACATTTTTTTCAGTCACTGCTTATCTAAAATTCTTAATTCCACCCTCACAATTGGTATTTAGTTAGCATGGGCAGGATTCTAGGTTGAAATAATCTTCCCTTTGATATTTGAATGCGTTTTCCACCATCTTCTACCTTCTAGAGTTACCGTTGAGGAGTTCTATGTGTTCTGATGCTTCTTCCTTCAAAGTGTTAAGATTGTTCTCCTTATCCCTGGCTTCTGACCCTTTATGATGGCATGTCTTGGAAAGAACTACTTCATTTATTGTGCCCAGCACTACTTGGACCTTTTCTTCAATAGGATGCCTGTAAGCTTCAGAACAAGGAGTCTTCTTTATTATTATTTTTTTTATATTGTACACTCATGTTTTATGTTTTCAGAACTCTTATTCATTTAATGTTGGATCTCCTGAGTTTATCCTCTAACCTTCTTAATTTTTCTGGTTATTTTTCTCCTCTGTGTCTTTTTTTTGTTCTTTCTGAGAGATTTCCTTGATTTTATCTTCCAATCCTTCCACTGGATTTTAAAAATTATGATTATATTGTTGCTACATTTCTGGAGATGATTCTTACTGCTTGGTTCTAGGGTGTGGTGCTAGAAAGCAGATTGTAAGTTCTGTGCTTTTGTGCTGGGTGATGCTATGGTTTGAATGTGTGCCCAAGAGTTCATATGTTGGGGAAACTTAATCCCCAATGAAACTGTGTTGAGAGATGGGACCTAAGAAGAGGTGATCAGGTCATGAGGGCTCTGCTCTTGTGAGTGAATTCATATTATTACCATAGGGGTGGGTTTGTTATCGCAGGAGTAAGTTCCTGATAGAAGAATGAGTTTGGCCTTCTCTCCCTCCACCCATCTTGTGCTTTCTTTGCCCTTCCACCTTTCTGCATGGGATAATGAGGCAAGATGTGGGGCAAGATGAAGACCACATGTGGGACCCTCAACCTTGGACTTTCCAGTTTCTAGAACTGTAAGAAATACATCTCTGTTCCTTATATGTACTTAGTCTTCAGCATTCTGTTACAGCAGCACAGAATGAACTAATACAGGTAGGTAGGAGGGCTTCTGGGCTGATACTCTGTATTCTAGTAGGGGCCTCTCAAATATCAGTATATGGAGGTATTTTTTTTCCCCCTCTAGACTGTGGGCTTCTCTAGAGAAGAATCTTGCAATTTCTTGCAGGGAGAAAGTTGGAGGCATTATGTATATCTGCCTGCAGCACTTTGGGAGAAACCATGGGAAGAGGTTGAGGCCTGCTTTCACATAATCCCACCTTTTCAGGCCCCCTCTGCTTTCTACTATATTTAGTGTCACTGAGTTAAAGGGCCTCAGATTCAGCTGCTACAGAGTACAAACTTCCCATCTCTGGAGTTTAGATGTTTGGAGAGAGGTGGTAGAGGTGGGGAAAGTAGAGATGTGATATGGATTAGACTGATTATTTAGGATAGGGAGAAATGGGGTGTTCCAAGTACTCTCTGTGAAGTCTTTACATTTCTGCACCCATATCTCCCAAAATATTGGTTTTACTTAAAATTGGTATTTCACTCCCCTCTCCACCCAAGACATTTATGTTTTAACCTCTTCTTTACTAAGTCAGTTAAAACTCCTCCATCTTCTCTTTCTCTTTCAAAGTTTTGTTGGAGTTTTTTTCAGTTTTCTCTCTTCTGGTTTTTATTAGTTGATAGCTTTTTTAAGTACAATTTGTAGATATATAGAAAATTGTATTTTGTAGATGATGCCAAGCAGTTTTTCAAAATGATCGTTACGGGGTTTTTCTGTTTTGTTTTTTGAGCCACTCTTTGTCTCCCAGGCTGGAGTATACTGGCGCAATCACAGCTCACTGTAGTCTCAAACTCTTGGGCTCTCGCAATCCTCTCACCTCAGCCTTCTGAGTAGCTGGGACTACAGGCGTGCACCACCACACCCAGCTAATTTTTACATTTTTTGTAGAGATTGGGTCTCACTTTGTTGTCTAGGCTAGTCTTGAACACCTGGGCTCAAGCGATCCTCTCTCCTTGGGCCTTCCAAAGTGCTAGGATTATAGGAGTGAGCCACTACACCTGACCTTATCTGCCTTTATGGTCATTTTGATGGGTTTGGGGGAAGAGCAGAGATGAATTTGAATGTAAAATCTCCATGCTTAGATATTTCAATCTACACATTTTAAAGATAAACAAAGAAGAAACCTAGAAAATCTGGCTAATACAAAATCATAGCTAAGGGTACAGTGGAATAGAGGAAAAAATAGGAAGTCCGACTTCCTGTCTAGTATCCAAATGAGGGCAAATTAAAACCCACCCAAGAGTAATAAAATGCCAAACGTAATTTAATCTTTCTTTATACATTCAAATGTTCCTTTGGGCTTTCATCAGGAACATCCATGATTACTGTACTGTACGTGAACATTTTTTGAAGCTATAGTGGACTTAGTTTATGTTCTAGAAATGGACTTTTCTTGGCCGGGCACGGTGGCTCAAGCCTGTAATCCCAGCACTTTGGGAGGCCAAGACGGGCGGATCAAGAGGTCAGGAGATCGAGACCATCCTGGCTAACATGGTGAAACCCCGTCTCTACTAAAAAATACAAAAAATTAGCCAGGCGAGGTGGCGGGCACCTGTCGTCCCAGCTACTCGGGAGGCTGAGGCAGGAGAATGGCGTAAACCCAGGAGGCAGAGCTTGCAGTGAGCTGAGATCCGGCCACTGCACTCCAGTCTGAGCGACAGAGACTCCGTCTCAAAAAAAAAAAAAAAGAAAAAAGAAATGGACTTTTCTTAAGTGTCTTCTATTAGCACCATGGTTTCTTGACATTCATGGATGGTCAGCTTCTGCCTCCCTTTGGAGCATTGTTTAATAGAGTTTTTTCAATTAATGTGATACAGATTAGATCAGTTTAAAAAAACAGTATAATGATCTTTTCACCATTTCCTTAAGTTAGAAAGTACAGGATTTAAAAAAAGAAAAAAACCCCAAAAGATCAACTGAGATAAGATATAACGGAATTTATTAAATATAACAAGAAACATTCCATGCACTGTGAAGGGTATGGAAACAGATAGGTGGAATTATTCAAAATCCTATTCAGAGCATTAAAAAGGCATTGGGCTACTTGTAGATGAGAAAAGATAATTATATTACCATGAGCATCCTGGAATTTATAACTGACATCAGTTTATCAGTGTTTCTCAGACTTCATTCTGAATAAACGTTATGAAGGGAAGTTCTTAAATGCAGATCTCTAATGCCCACCTCTAAAGATTCTGTTGGACCAGGGTGGGATCCTAGGCCTGCACTTTTAACAAGCATCCCCACTGATTTGTCTTCAGGCCAGCTGCAGTGCACTTTTAAATTGTAAATTTAGACAGATGATAATTCAAATAGTATTGCTTTCCCCTTCTTTCTCTCTTTCTTTTCACTAATTCTTATTTCCTCTTCCTTAAATAATCAATCACTTAAGAAAAATTAAATCAGCAAGGAGCCTCCACAGTCCTTACTATCTATTTGAAGAGGCAGGGCACAAAGACAGCAAGAAGTCATATTGAGTGTCAGGTGAATCTTGTGTCAGCTACTAACACAAAACGACAGGGGATACAGTGGTAACAGACGTAGGATTTTCACACATGAAAAGAGAATTAAGCTAAAACTTGGGCTATTAATTGGTAGGAAGACAGGGGACATTCTCCTAGATAAGGAACTGGCATGGGTGGAGGTCCTCACTTCCTTACTTGTGTATCTCAAAAGCACCTCCAACTCCATGTGGCTGATGCTGGACCCATGCTGTCTTTCTAGATCTGGACCTTCGTCACTCTTTCCTAACTCATTGATTATTATTACAATCCCTGCAGCCTCTCAAGCCGGGAGTTTATTTTATTTTTGTTTTTTAGGCCATGAATTGATATATCATTCTTTGCCCCACCCCTTGTCTCCAACCATATGAAACCCATTACTTCATTTGCCACTGTAACCTCTAAATATCTTTGTCTCCATGTCACCATATTCATCCAAACTAACATATTTCACCTGGATTTTTGCAGTACATGCTGATTGATCCTCAATTGCCCTTTCCCAGATATTTTCCTTACTTTCACCAGAACACTTCTCACAATATTCAAATTTGATCATTCCACCCTTTTAATTTAACAAATGTCTGAATAGTACTCACAGTATACCAGGCAGTGTTTGGGGAGCTTTACACATATTAACTAATTTAATATAAATCTCTTGATTAAAACTCTTTAGTGGCTTTCTATTGTCCTTACAAAACAGGGAAAAAATAATGTGGCTCACAAGGTCCTGCAAAGTCTGACTTCAAACAAACTCTTCTACCTCTTCCTGTACCACTGGGTCATGTGCGTTCTGTGTTCCACCATGTGATGTTTCAGCTCCTAGAATTCTCCCTGCCCCTATCATCATTTGAAATCTTCCTGGATACTAGTTCACTCCATTCACCACTTAGCTTCACCACCCTAGCTAGTCATGTTCATTTCTTATAAATATACTCATGGAACAATGACCTTCTCCTTCCAAGTTTTCTTTTTCATTGGCATAATTTTTTGATTCATTCATATCTGATCCACTAGACAGCAGTTTTCCTGAAAGCAGGTTCCAGGAAGGTTTTTGCTTGTGAGACTACCTTCGGTATATGTACGATGTATAGTAAAGAGTAGGGCACTCAAACTTTTTTTTTAGTGAATAAGTGAAGAGAGTTAGAATAAATGGAAAAATGACCAGGGACAGTTCTTGACTAATTTTCCTATACAGCAGGTTCCCAGCAACCTGATTTTAAATTATAGGTCCTTCAGAAAAATGTTGCAAACATCCACCTATTATTTTCTAAAATGATTTTCAGTGCCACCTTGACAGAGTTCTCTAATCAGTGTAGCAGCTGCCTATGTGGTAATTACAACTAGGGATCCTTTTGTAAATGCTTAACTGAACTGGAAACAACAGTGGAATCACGAATCTTGATCAAGTTGTCCAAGCCTTTCATTTCTGGCTTTCCTATAAGCAATTCTGATCCTTTTCTCAGTTGTGTTTGGGTCTTGCTTGGCTAGACCTCTGGTTGAAAAATTAGCGGCTCTTTCTCTCTCCTTTCCCCCCAAAACATGCTTTAGGACCAATCTTGTATATACAGGATGGGATTTATTGAGTTCTAGATCAATAATTCGTAAATTGGAGAAAGACTAGCTGATGGTGGTGCTTGCACTTCTGTTGTATCAGACTAGGCCCCTCACCATGTGCCCCAGTTACAATCACTGTATTCCTGTCTTGGATCCTTGTACTTGCACCGCTGCCCTGATAATTTACCCTATTTTTCTGTGACTAGAGTCTTGTTTTATCACTTACTTTGCCCAGTTAGGCAGAAAGCTTACCTCTGCTCCCCAATCCAGTGAAGCCTCTCCAATGCAGTGAAACCTCTCTATGATCACCAATCCCTCCTAAAGCTTTTCAGTAATCTCATGGTTCACCTGAATTCCCTGGTCCTGTCTGCTCCAAGACTCCTGCGCTTTCCACCTGTTTCCCCATGGTATGGTCTTTTGTTGGAATCTAAATTCCGCCTGCCTTCCTCCACGTTCTCGGCAACTGAGGCTGGCTGCGAACCAGATCCTGCTTTTGCCCAGTCTCTATGCTACATAGCTCCCTGCTCCTTTTCCGATAGAGGTCGCGCATGTGGTATAGTTTGTGAGACTGGACAGGGCGTTCTGCCACCTGATATCAATAACATTCCATCATTTCCACATAGTGTGGCCTCCTTAGAGTTCTAAAGAATCTCATGTTAAAAAGCAAGTGTCTCCAGGAAGAAACACACTTGTACCTTCACTGGAAAACATGCATGTTAGAAGGCAGAGGAGGGCACTGGGGAGGACCCATGGAATCACAGCATGGCCTATTCCACCTTCTCATGGTTATCTACTTGTTTCTCCTCTCATCCTCCTCATGCTGAGACCCAACCGATTACTTGGAGTTCCCTTAGATATGAATTGTAATTTCACACCTTCATATTTTTGGCTATGCTTTTTGTCTTTTCTATAACATTATTTTCTTATTCTGAAATTGGGTAAGTGTTATTTATTCTTCAGGCCTTATTTACATCTCATCTCTGATACGTGTTCCAAAAAATGTTTCCTTCAAGGAAAATATTTGCTTTTCATTATATTACTTATAACATCACTTTATACTTCTCTGTTTATGATTTTTTCTTTCTTGAATGTGAGCCCCTTGAGAAAATAAACTGCTTTATTAATCTTTGGATTTCTGGTTAAGAAATTCTAATTTTGTTTGTTTGATAGCATCACAGAAACTCTTACTTCAATTATCTTAATAAAACATTTAAAAGTATTTTCTGCTGTGAAATTTGCATTTGTAACTTTTTTGAGCTAACATGATACTTATGTTTTGTCCTTATGTAAAGAACATATAATATATCCTGAGCCACATAAAAAATTTTGAGTTAGTAATATTAAAAAAAACCCTCCAACTTACCCTGCAGGCATCATAAATTCCTTCCATATATCCGGCACAGAACATTCCAGATTTTATATCATTGCCATATACCTGTGGTTGCTTGCAGACATCATCACTTATGATTTTTACTCTGGCTTCTCGAAGTTCATTTTGGGATTCCCCTTAAGAAAAAATAAAGTTATTTTAGTATTTACAATCAGCATCTTTGGCTAGAGTGAAGTGAGCAGACTTTCCTAATATATTTTTCATAGTAAAATTGTCAATACAGAATGAGGTTAATATAAGCAGTTTCTAGAGAAAAGAATTTCTAGTTGAATCTGGCACATCAAATGAAAATTATCGTCCAATCACATTTTTATAAAGATTTCTGAAAGCAAGTAAGCCATTTGGATTCTTTTTTCTGGAAAATTTAACCTTAAAAATAATCAGTTCGTATATTTCAGGAAGGCCTTTTATCTTTTTTAAAGCTTTTATTTGTGGGTTCCGGATTGTTCCCAGAAACTTTGCATGCCTAGATAGTTTTCTCCTTTGGCTTGATAAAATGCCTATAATACTCTGTACATTTATTTTATTATTTAAAGTTTATGATGAGCTTTCATAAATATAAAATATATGTGAAATATATATGTTATATATCATACATATATATAAAAATGCATTAAATGGCAATGATTTCACTTCTAATATATTACAAGTTGGTGGCTGCAGACTGTAAGCTAGATTCTGAGTTTTAGAAACCAGTATTTATGGCAGGCTACGTAGAAAACTAAGAATAGCACAAGCATTCAGGGATTCTTTATACCAAACCATATATTGATTGGGAAACCATGACCTCACGGTTGGCAGAATTCTAAGATGGTCCCCAAGATTCCCGTGTGATTCCCCTCCTCCCACGTATGGGCAGGATCTGTGAATGTGATGAATGAGATTCTTGTGATTAGGTTATGTTATACAGCAAAGATGAGGGAGTTTTACAGATGCGATTAAGACGTCTAATGAGTTTGACTTTGAATTAACCAAATGGAGATTATCAAAGGTGGGCCTGACCTAATCTGCTGAGCCATTTAAAAAAGGGCGAGCCTTCCTGGAGTTCAGAGCCTCTTTCCTAAAGAGTTAAAGCAGCACGTTCTACAGATGTAAGTCATGGAATTCTGCCAGCAAACTTGGGCAAACCCTCAAAGGAGCCACAGATGCGACCACAACCCCAGCTGACATCTTGATTACAGTTTGGTGAGACCCTGAGAAGAGGAGTCAACTAAGCTGTGTCTGAATGTCTGACTCATTAAAATGTGAGATAAAAATAAATGAGTGCTGTTTTAAACGGTTTGTGGTTATTTGTTACACAGTTATAAAAAACTAATACAAGAATACAATATATCAACAGCTATAGTCACCATGATGTATGAGATATCTCTTAAACTTATTCCTCCTATCTAACTGCAAGTATGAATTTGTTGGCCAGCATCTCCCCAACCCCTTCCCCTGTAAAGACCCCCAGCTTCTGGTTGCCTACTGATGATATATTATATTCTTGAGAAATGCTACGAGAGTAGATATTAAGTGTTCTTGCCACAAAAATGATAATTATGTAAAATAAGACATTTGTTAATTAGCTAGATTTAACACTCACAATGTACATATACTATACTTCAACATACCATGTTGTACATGGTAAGTACATGCAATTTTTTACATCAATTTAAAAAATAACTAAGTACATTTGAAAAAACCCTAATACAAACACCAGTTTCTTTAGAAGACCATTTCCAAGATTTATTTCTGAAGAAATGTTTGCAAACACATTTTTAAAAGTGCTCAGAAGATTTAAGTGTGTATCTCAGAAATATGCTAAGAGATTTTTCAAATTATTCTGTTATTTGAATACAATTGGTTTATATACATTATACACACACACACACACACACATATATATATATATATATAGCCTACTATTTCATCAATTAAAAACATTCATGGCCTGGCACGGTGGCTCACGCCTATAATCCCAGCACTTTGGGATCACGAGGTCAGGAGATCGAGACCATCCTGGCTAACACGGTGAAACCCCGTCTCTACTAAAACTACAAAAAAAATTAGCCGGGCGTGGTGGCGGGTGCCTGTAGTCCCAGCTACTCCGGAGGCTGAGGCAGGAGAATGGCGTGAACCTGGGAGGTGGAGCTTGCAGTGAGCCAAGATCGCACCACAGCACTCCAGCCTGGGCAACAGAGTGAGACTCTGTCAAAAATAAAAAAAATAAAAATAAAAATAAAAATAAATAAATAAATAAATAAATAAATAAATTCATGTCCGATGCTGAGAAGAGTAAAGTAAAACTAACAATCTATATATTGTAAGTAGGTGACAGTGCAAATCCACAACTTCTTCAGCAAACTAGTTGGTAAAATGTATTTCAAGTCATGAAAAGCATAGCCCATAAATTCTGGACATCCCTGAACTATATCTCATCTTCTATAAAAATACTTCTTGCAAAATATTGATTTTATCAAACAATCAGCTTTTTATTTATTAACTTTCTCTATTTTTTAATTTTTAATTTTATTCATTTCTATTCTTATCCTTATTTCCTTCCTTACATTTGTTTTAGGTTTATTTTTTTCTTTTTCTAGTTTCTTGAAGTGACAACTTAGTTATTGATTTGATATCTTTCCTTATAATATGCATTTTCTATAAATTTCCCTTTGTACACTATTTTAGCTGCATCTGGCATATATTTATATATTTTTGTTTTCATTTAGTTCTATGTGTTTTTTACAAATTTCTTTGAGGTTTTCCCTTTATTTACACATATTTTTAATTGGTAAGCATTTGGGGATTTTTATATTATCTTTCTGTTACTGATGTTTAGTTAGATTCTATTATGATCAGAGAATATACTTTGTATGAGTTCAATTTTAAAAAACTTCTTAAGGTTTGCTTTACAGACTTGAATATGGCTTCTCTTGGTGAGTAACGAATGGGTGTTTTAATCTATTAATGTACTTAATAGATTAAGAATGATAGGATAATTTATTTAATAGATTAAAAGCACCTGTGGGTCACTCACCAAGCGAGGCCATATTCAAGCAGGGTGGAGTGCTCTATAAGTGTCAGATTCTGCTGCCATTCACAAAGCATTATGACAGGTATTTTTCTGTGTCAATCTCAAACTCCTGAAAGACAATGATTTTTCCCACCAAGACAAAGGGGATTTGTGATGTCTTTTTCCCATGACTGTGAAGCAGAGAATGCAAGCTCTATCTTCAGAGAAAATCTATCCAAGAGAGTGCAGACCTAGGGAGGTGTCAAGTTTACAGCAGCACTAATCTACTGGAATTAATAAACTATAGGTAATATTTTCTGTGATTGGTAATAGAACCTTAAAGAAAGCAATGCATGTCTCAGTCTGTATAAGATGGAAAAAAAAAAAAAAACCACACATGGAACATCTGGAGAAAATCTAGAGACCCTAAAAGCTATTCCTGCCTATGTGAGTGAAAGATTATTCCTAGTTCCTTAATAGGAGACTGACAATCAAAAGCTTATTCTTTATAATTTCTTGCATATAAATAAATTGTATAGAATCCTGCAAATAGATGTAGTCATTCTCAGAAAGCCCTTTTGCATTTTCTCAAGCCCACTGTTAAAGAAACTCTCTAGCTGTTGTTATACATATGTACCTGGACCACATGGTAGAATCCAGAGCACGTCTCACTAAGATTGCCTAAAAAATTCAATAACTAAATCATCATTATTTCTTACGAGACTAAGTTTAGTATATCAAGTTGAATCCTTTTAGAGAGGGCAAATAATTTGACAATTTATCTCTACACGATTCTTATTCACCATCACACTTAAATTAGCCTCTTCAGTACTGAAGCAAATTTTGCAACATAGGCACAAAGAATATTTGAGTTAGCCACTCAATCTGAGTTCTCCTAGACACAGCTGGAACAATAGAAATTAATGTGAATTCTGGCAAAGAAAAGAAGTAAATGTTCCTTTCTGTGTATTTTTTCTTGGTTGAGGATGATGTAAGTGTTGAGGTGTTGTTAGCCACCTCTGACACTAGGTGAAGCTAGCATCCCTCTGAATGAAGCCAACACAGAGAAAAGCAGGGGCAAAAAATTCAGATTCAGAGACGCAGAGCCAGATGACATCATATAAACTCCTGTGTCTGAAGTGACACTTATTATGCTTTTTTGACTTCTAAATTACATGAGCCAAATTTGTTGAAGTTTTTGTTTCTTGGTTTTTTATTCTGCACCGGTTAATGTGAATTGAATTTCTGTCACTTGCAAACTGAGAACCTTAACTAATCCAATCAGACTGTGTGGAAATGTCTGTCAGTACAATATTGATGGAGATGAAATCACATTGCCCTAGACAGGGCTTAATGCTCTGTTAGCTATCCTGAGATACCCACCACCATAGTAAAGTGCTCCAAATCCTGTGATGTAGACAGTTGAATTTGGTTGGAAGGATGCAGAGGCTTCTGGCAAACATATCCGGCGTATGTCATCTGAAAAAGTGACTCTGTAAGAGACCTGCACGACAGCAATGTCGTACTCTCTTGATGCGGAGTGATAGTTCTCATGGACAATAAATCTTTTGACATTTCTTTTCATTAAGGGAGGGTTGATTTTTGTTCCAAAACTAACAGTCCATTGATGTGGATTTTTATACCTGGAAAAGGTTAGAAATTAACAGAATATATATAAGCTGCCCAAAGTATATGAACTACATTAATTGCATTTAGGCTATTATAAGAGAAATACAATCCTGAGAATACTTGGCTGTGGTTATAGTTTTCTTTGATCATCTAAATATAATCTATTGCTAATGTTTTGAAAGATAAAACATATATAAACACCATATTAGAACTGATATTTAATACAAAGCTATTGAATTTTGGAATTGTAATACACATAAAATATCATTCATTTATCCCTTCCACAAATATTTACTGAGCATCTATGTGCTGAGCCTTATCTGAATTACTGGAGATAAAGTGATGAACAAGACCTAAGGTGCCTGCTCACAGCAGTATAAGATTCTAGAGAAGGAAAAGGATCAAAACAAGCAACCAAGTGGATAAATAACCTTAAACATTGATAAAGGCTATGAACAAAATACAATAGGGTAATGGAATAGAGTACTAACAGGTCATTATGACTATTTTAAGAACGCATTTGGGCTAAGACATAGTAAATGAGGGTCAGTGTGAGGAGATGAGGGAAACAAATTCCCAGGCAAAAATCCCAAGGTCTTGCATTGAATGGGCTGCAGTCAGAACACAAGGGAAAGAACGGTTGGGGGTGAGCTTGGAGAGGTAAGCAGGGACTAGATTTTAGAGAGTTTCATAGGTCACGATAAAGTGCTTACATTTTATTCAAGTGATACGGGAATCTACTGGATAATTAAGACAGAGAATAATGTAGTCTCATTTACATTTTTAAAAATCATGTTGGTTCTTTCTGGAGAATAGATTCTTGAAGGTCAAGAATGGATGTGGTAAAGTCTATTAGATGACTGCATAGTCCTTTGAGAGATGACAAAATGTGGTAAATGTGGTTGACTTCTAGCTTGTGGGCTTGGACAGTGGGTAGATTGTGGTACATACAAGGATCAGAAAAATCATTTAGTAGCAATGGAAGATGATCTAGTAAAGACTGTGCTTTATACTTAAGGAAAATAAAGCCTGGATAGGTTACACTATTTGATTCACATCACATGTCTGCCTGCCTCTGTCTGCTCTTCCCTTTATAAAACACTGTCTCCCACCAATTTATATTATTTGTATTTTTCAGAAGACTTCCTGCTTTATTTTATTATATGTGACACTAGCTACACATCTGTCTTGGTGTATTTAGTTATTGGAAGCGTATTTTAAGGAAGACACTGACAAAGTCTCGAATGTTCAGAGAATAAGAACCAATGTAGTAGGGCATCTGGAAGTTGGTTCTGCAAAAAGGAGGTAAATACATATACATATTTTTTTCACACACATATATATGCATATATATGTACATATATACATTTTTAGAAATTCAGGGTTACATGTGCAGGTTTGTTACACAGATAAACTTGTGTCATGGGGTTTTGTTGTACATATTATTTCATCACCCAGGTAATAAGCCTAGTACCCATTAGTTATTTTTCCTGATCCTCTCCCTTTAGCACTCTTCAGTATAGCAAAGACATGGAATCAACCTAAATGCCCATTAGTGATAGACTGGATGAAGAAAACGTGGTATACATATACCATGGAATGCTATGCAGCCATAAAAAGAACAAAATCATGTCCTTTGCAAGGACGTGGATAGGGCTGGAGGTCATTATCCTTAGCAAACTAAAGCACACAGTAATGATATTTATTTTCACTCATGGTTTGGATATTCTCACTCATTTTATGTTTGGTCTAAAAAAGAGAAACTAAAGAATAGCTGTTACACGAATGAAGAGATAAAATTGGTTCCTGTTGTTCCAGATGAAAAAAACAAAAACAAAAACAAATATTGACGGTGGAACTTAATAGAGTGCAGATTTGGTGTTCAATGCTATAAAGATATTTGCAAAAATAGAACTATCTAGCACAAAAATGGCTAACTTTGGCAAAGTAAATTTCCCGTTACTTTGAAAAACCAGACACCAGCATAGGGGATTTCTGGCTTTCTAATATATCAGCTTACTGAGCTCTTACAGCTTTCAAACATTAAGGATTTATGTAGATTCTTTTAAAAAATAGATTACTATTTTTTAAGATGGGGACTTGCATTGTCACCCAGGCTGGAGTGCAGTGGTGCAATCATAGCTTGCTGTAGCCTCAAACTCCTGGGCTTAAGGGATCCTCCTGCCTTAGCCTCCCAAGAAGCTGGGATGATAGGCATGCACCACCATTCCCAATGGGGTTTCACTATCTTGCCCAGGCTGGTCTTGAACTCCTGAGCTCAAGTGGTCCTCTCGCCTCGGACTCCCAAAATTCTGGGATTACAGGCATGAGCCACCATGCCCAGCCTAGATTCTTAATATATATTTTCTTCAGAATATTAAGAGTCTCTATAAAGATTTATGCTCTTAGGCAGATAAAATTTATTATAGTAACAAAAGTTAGAATTTTACAGGTCAAAAAGAATGTGAAAAGATCTAGTCTATCTATTACCTAATATACTAAGGTTCAATAATTTGCCCAGCTCTCCAACTGCCTGGGACATATTTTTCCCACTAAATTCTGCTGCCACCTACTATATAGAGATACTTGAGAAGTCTTTGTTATTACCATAATAATTGGTAATGAAGAAGAAAGGCAGTACAGTTAATCTACTTAGAAAAAAATCTAAAATTTTAAATGTAATAGTGATAAAAATGACTGGTTATTATCTTGAAAAGTAAAATTAAAAGTTATAAAAAGTCATTTTATCTTATAAATTATATGATAAATTATAAATTATATGAAGCAATTATATGATAGCACAATTTGCTATTCTTCACTTCAGCTTTGTGTTTTGTGGCACTATTGTGAAGAGGTGCTCTATTATGCGAAGGTCACATTGAGTAGCCCAAGGGCCTTTCTGAATCCTTTGATACTCCAGGAATCTCTTTTGAACTGCCTGTCTTTATCATGCTAGCAAGCTCTCATTTTGGTTGTAAACTGTTCTAATTCCACAGATCTCCATGTGTCAATGCTCTACATTTGATCTGCTCTTCTGGTTCTCCATCATTACAGTTACCAACTTCCTGCATTTATTGAAAATTTCCATTTTACTTTGGAATTAGTTTGATTTTTTACGATGAGTAGGAGACTGGCCCAAGTGTTTGGCAGAAACAGACACTAGTTTTAAGTGGAGAGCATTGTTTCACAAAAGATTAATGGTGTATGTTATTAGTGAATATTTTGTGTTAGGATGTCACAAAATAGTTCTGATTCCTTACACAGTTTCCTTATTAAAAACTTTGAGGAAATGATTGATGAATACTAGGATAATGACTGTTACTTCCTTTATTCCCATCAAATTTCTGATTAAGTATGCAAGTGTAACATTATTTTAGAGAAGAACATGAAATAACTTTTTCTTACTTTACTTCAGTAATATTTGGGACATTAATTGTTACCAAGAATATGACAAAACTCGGGGCTTTTTAGCAGAAGTGGGTTCTAACTTAAGGTCAATAACTTACCTCTGGAAGCAGTGTGCTGCAGTGACAAGCCATGTATTACTAATTAAGGTGGCCCCACACTGATGGATGTTATCATGCTGAAGGGAAGCTTGCCAAGGCCAGGCCGCCTTGGGTGCAATGACTCCAGATGCTATTCTGTTGACGTGCAGTGGAACAACTCGTTTACCACAACCTGAAAAAGATGAGATCATTAAGTTATAAGAAACATCTTGTAATTACAAGAAATGACCCCATTCTTACTTGCCTGAAGACATTTTTCTATACTACTCCTCCTCACCCTACCTGTCACTGGATTCATGGCCTCTTCTCTCTCACATTTCAGAGTTCACTTGCTCACTCTGTGAGACCAGGTTAGCTGACTCTCTGATGGACTCTCATAGCACTATGCACTTCCTCTGCCATAGCATTTATCACACTATTTTCATACTGCCTGATTTATTTATATCTTTCTCTACTTTGAAATTCTAATTTTAGAGCAGGGATCATGTTTTATTCACAATGGTACCACCAACTCCTGGTCTAATTTCTGGCACTTGGTAGATGTTAAAAGATGCTTGTTGAATGAATAAATACATGAATAAAAATACTTAGGGTGTTTGCAAGGCACAGAGGCAAATGCATGAACATCACTGCTCAAATTCATCACTATTTTTGTAAAATCTTTCGAAATATAGGCCACAGTGATTTGAAGTGATTTAATGAAGCCACTGTTAGCGATTAAGATGAATATATTAAGCATATTTCTTTTCTTCTTCTTTTTTTTTTTTTTTTTTTTTTGAGGTGGAGTCTCATTCTATCACCAAGGTTGGAGTGCAGTGGTGCGATCTCGGCTCACTGCAACCTCTGCCTCCCGGGTTCAAGCAATTCTCCTGCCTCAGCCTCCCAAGTAGCTGGGACTATAGGCGCCTGCCACCACACCTGGCTAATTTTTGTATTTTTAGTAGAGATAGGGTTTCTTCTCCATGTTGGTCAGGCTGGTCTTGAACTCCTGACCTCAGCATATTTCATAGATAACTTGTCAGTCACAAACAATGGGTTTTATCTCCTCCCTATTAATTACTTTCTCATTATTTTATTTTGTAGCAGAAAGTACATTTTATGGAATTTTTAAAAATTAGAAAAACAAGTCCAGTATTCCCAATCAGAAATATATACTTTCTTCAAATTGCCCCAAAAGGTTACCATGGCAATTTTTTTCTTGAACATGACTAAAAGATCAGTCCATGAGTTAGAAAAAAAAAGTATTTAAATCTATTGTACAAATAGTTATTATCTCTCAAAGAAAATTTGGAGCACAGATGGGCAAATATGAGCAAATATTTGAAAATGTCCTTTCTGATGTGAAAATTACTTGTTTATATAAGCTAACTCGACTTACTTGCTTGGACAGTTAACTCCCCTGTTGATGAGCTCATTGCTGAAAAACAAGACAAAACAAATAGTGATAATTTGATATTTTCCTGGTTGGTCTCAATGACCAGGAATAATCAGAGGATATTGACCATACATGGATTCTAGACAGTTGAACATACAGATTAATTAGGAAAATGGCTATCTGATACAGTATCTGTGCACAGTTTTTGTAGAGACTTATAGGCAGCCTCTAATTAGGTGGATACTATCACAAGCAACGGGTGAGTAAGGCACAAATAGTGGATGACTACAGCCCACAAATAGTTTGTATTAATAGAGAACTATGGTTTTCCAGCAGTTCAGGATAAAGCTTCTTTGTATTCCACTTCAGAAGATGGGTAAATGGGACAGAGGAAACAGGTTATATTAGTTCATTTTCACACTGCTGATAAAGACATATCTGAGACTGGGTAATTTATAAAGGAAAAGAGATTTAATGGGCTCAGAGTTCCATGTGACTGGGGAGGCCTCACAATCATGGAGGAAGGCAAAAGTCATGTCTTACATGGTGGCAGGCAAGTCAGAGAATGTGAGCCAAGTGAAAGGGGAAGCCTCTTAAAAAACCAGCAGATCTCATTCAGTACCATAGAACAGTATGGGGGAAACTGCACCCATGATTTAATTTATCTCCCACCAGGTGCCTCTCACAACATGTGGGAATTATGGGGGCTACAATTTGAGATGAGATTTCGGTGGGACACAGCCAAACCATATTGCAGGTAGACTGTCTTACAGGCCTCAAACTCAGCCTCAGCCAGAACAGATCTGCTTTTTCTCTTTTATTTACTTCGAATTTCACATAAACCTTTCTTTCTTTCTTTTTTTTTTTTTTTTTTTTTTTTTTTTTTTTTGGTTAAAGGGTTTAGGATGAAAAAACCTTGAAGACTCTCGCATAAATGATATTTTAAATGCTTTTTAAACACAGTTCCTAAATACTAAAATTGCTTTTTTAAAACAATAAACTGTTAGGTATTTCTTATCCGAATATTGGTAAAGGCTAGTTATTGGACACAATCCAAGATTAAATTCTGTCAACTTCCAAAAAAGTGAGGAATTTGACTAAGGAAACACAAATATTTAACTTGTATACATGTATCAAAACACCATGTTGTATACAGTAAATACATACAATTTTTATTTCTTAATTATATCTTACTAAAGCTGGGGAAAAATAAAGTTGGTGGAAGTTTTCATGAAAATTGTGATGATTTTCAAGTTAAAATGACTTAGCTTACTAAGCAGATGAGAATAAACTGTTTTACTTTTTCCTACCAGTGCCATGTTTCTCAGACACATTCTCAGTATTCTATTCCCCATTATACAAAATAAGATTGTTTCATTTTATTAACTTTCTACAAATTCCACTGGGGAAACTAGTGATGATAAACTCTACAAAGTGGGTGCTTTTGAAAATATCCAATTCAAGTATACCCTTAAAGGCACCCCAAATCATTGTATGGTGAAGAATCAATTGCTTAGGACCATCAATTGCCCAAGACCATCAATTGCTCTTGGTGCTTACTCTATGGAAGGAATTCAGTTTACCATCAAATGTAGTTTAAGGCAGTAAATTTATTTCGTTTTTAATAAAACTATATATTTTGTCCTTAGTAATGCAATAAAGTGGAAAATAGCATAAAGTTAGAACTCTTCAGTTAAAACTTTGTCAACTTAGCCTGAGTAGGATGCAAGTTATCCATTTCCAGGAATGATACCAGGGTAAGTAGTAATGGTGGTGAGTATAACCAGATTTTTAGGTAGAATGATTACACCTGGAAACAAACTGTCAATATACAAGTAACTAGTTTCTAATTTTGACCAGAGATTTTTACTTTCCAGGTACGGAAATGGAAATAAACATTAACACTTTAGTTTTGAAAGCGACCACCTCCTAACAAGGTTCGGAGTGGGAGAAAGCTAGTTAATATTCAGGGCTCTACAGGCTACAAGTATCATGAAGCAAAGTCATCTGACACGTAGGCAGTGAGCTGCTTGACTACAGTCTTGGCGTTTGCAATGCAAAGAAGTTGATTTTAGCTTTGCTTTGTCACACTGTGCCTCCTGAAGGACCCACACCACAGTTTTTTTGTCAAAACAAAATACAGATTCTTGACAAATTATAAATAAATCTTGGGCTACAGGGTTATTTCTAGACTTAATCTAGAATCTCTACAGTTTTCTGTTTATTGGTAGTCGAAAAATTATGTGTTCCCAGGAAGCAATGTTTTTGTCTATAAAAATTGCCTTAAAAATTCTCCTGAGCTGTCCACTGAATGTGCCTTTCTTTTTCTTTTTCTTTTTTTTTTTTTTGAGACGGAGTCTCGCTCTGTCACCCAGGCTGGAGTGCAGTGGCCGGATCTCAGCTCACTGCAAGCTCCGCCTCCCGGGTTTACACCATTCTCCTGCCTCAGACTCCCGAGTAGCTGGGACTACAGGCGCCCGCCACCTCGCCGGGCTAGTTTTTTGTATTATTTTTTTTAGTAGAGACGGGGTTTCACCGTGTTATCCAGGATAGTCTCGATCTCCTGACCTCGTGATCCGCCCGTCTCGGCCTCCCAAAGTGCTGGGATTACAGGCTTGAGCCACCGCGCCCGGCCGAATGTGCCTTTCTTAAGTGCTAGTGATGGCAGCTACAGGCTGTCTGGAGCAGTGGCAGCAAGAGCGGACGCGGGAGCAGCAGTGACGGTGGTGGGTCCCCTGTGACCCACATCCCTGAGGCAGCCGACTGTGCCGCCCCCAACCTCATGTGACCAGGCAGGACCCGCTCCCAGGCCTGGAGCCTCTCCTACTCCGGAACCTGGCCCAACGTTGCCATTCTCGACCATGGCCACTGCAGGGTGGGTGTGAGGAGAAAGTTCATGGAGCCCATCCCTGGGAGCCCCCCAGAGCCTGCCATCCTGGAAGCTACTGCAATGGGACTGGGCCAAATTGCCCACTGGTCTGGGAGCAGCGAGGTCAGGCACGAAGGGGTGGGCAGAGAGGTGCCGGAGGCAGAACTGGGCCCTTGCAGTTGGAGAGGTAGGTGACTAGGAGATCGTGGGACTACCTGCCTGCATAGAGGAGCTAGACCACTCTAGGGCCTACTGTCTGCTGAAAGCTGAACACTCAGTGGGACAACTTGCCTGCAGAGAGAAGCTTCTAACTCCAGGGCCTCCTCTCTGCTAGGAGCTGAACACTTGCTTGGACTCCCTGGCTACGAAGAGGAGCTGCCCACTGTGGGTCTCCTGTGAGCCATTCTCTTGCTCAGTAAACTTCTTTCTCGTCTTGCTCACCCTCCACTTGTCTGCCTACCTCATTCTTCTTGGTCTCAGGACAAGAACTCAGGACCTGCCAAATAGCAAGACTAAAAGAGCTGTAACACAAACAGGAATGAAACATACCCCTTGCTGGCCACATTGTAGGCAAAAAGAGATAAAAGCTGCAGCCTTTTAGGGATCCCAGACCTGGGAGCTCCCCAAGCCAGGGCTGTGACTCCCTCTTTGGGACCCTGCGGTTCCTGTCATCTTCAAGCTTCCTGGGTGCCACCACATTCCCAGGTGCCAGCCAGAGAAGCCGCTTGCAGTGAGCTTTGTCCAGCCACAGCCTCACAGAGAGCCAGCACACCTGTGCCAGCACCTGGAGCTGCCCATCATGCTGCAGCCAGTGTGCCTGGCTGTGGGCAGTGACCAGACCCCGTGCTCACTCACACAACCCTCACAGCTCCATGCCTGGGTTGGCCTTGGTGGGCATGGGATCCAGGCGGGTAGCAGGAGGTGGGCAGTCTACCAGGTCAAGTGGGCAGAATGAGCCCAGTGGGCCAGAGCAAAACCTGAGCAAAGGCACCAACCTCTGGCCACAGAGGTTTCTGGCCAGAAAAGCAACACCCCCTAGGATCCCATATCACTAATAAACACTATTCTTTTTACATTTAAAAATTCTGAAACTTTCAAGGATCTATCTGCTACTAGTCAATCACTCAAATTAATTATTTCAGGTTTCCAAAGCATGTGCACAACGTAATAGCTTTCTCAGTAGTAACAGCCCCTTTATTCCACATTGTGTTTTCTATTTCCTTGTATATTCTTATAATCTCTCTGTGATTTCAGGAAGAACAAACATTATCATTGGAATTTTACAGATGAGAAAATGAAGACAAAGGCATGAGTCAATTATTTGGGTGGTTCTGTAGTAACTTAGTGGAGTCAGAATTGGTCAGGTAACTCTCTCCCTTTTTTTTTTTTTTTTTTTTTGGAGATGGAGTCTTACTTTGTCATGCCCAGGCTTGAGTGCAGTGGCGCAATCTTGGCTCACTGCAACCTCCGCCTCCTGGGTTCAAATGATTCTTCCCCCTCAGTCTCCCAAGCAGCTGGGATTACAGGCGCCCGCCACCAGGCCTGACTAATTTCTGGTATTTTTAGGAGAGACAGGGTTTCACCATATTGGCCAGGCTGGTCTTGAACTCCCGACCTCAAGTGATCCACCTGCCTCGGCCTCCCAAAGTGCTGGGATTACAGGCGTGAGCCACCGCGCCCAGCCTCAGGTAACTCTCAAATCAGTTTCTCCATTAGCATATTCTGCCTTTTAATTTAGTACAATTATTAAAATAAGCTGAAGTTCAGAAGCTGAGCCTATAAAAAACAAAAAGACCAGGTAGTCAATGAACAATTTATGCTTCACTCTGGTTTCAGATAGTTCAGGCTTTTACATTCCTGACAAATTAACTATTTATTGGAAATTACACAGAATGCATCATGTAAGTTATCAGAATGGCCATTGTTTTACAATTTCTATTCATTTGCTTCCCCATCTAACAAAGAAGATGGATTAAGCACTTGTCAGGTTGCTCCCTTCTGGCTGGGAGAGGTCCTCAGCTTTATTCCCTAAGTAGCTGACTCGTTGTCACATCAGCAAACATCTGCCCATTCCATTACCTCACATTTTTTACTTCCTTATTTGGTTTCCTCTTGAAGAGTCAGCTAGACCCTTACAAGGGTAGAGTGTCCTGTTTCATGTCTGATAAAAATCGCTTGCCCTGAATCTCTTCTGTAACTCTCTTAGGTCTAGTATCCATTGAAATTTGTAGGGGAAATCTGTACTTGTCTGCTGGAAGAAGATGCTGTGAAAACAGCTTAGTGGACGAGGGTAAACAAGTTTCTCTCTAGCTGGCTGCCTTAGAATCTTTAATATGGTACCATAAGGAAGAGTTTCCGAGAAATGAATATCATAGCCAGAATTTTTAAGATGTGTTTGACTATAGAAACCTTTTTTAATTGGAGCCTTTTAAGAAATTAGAGATTTAAATTTGATTCTTAGCTCCTTTTAATTACTGAATTCCTCAACCCTTTTTGCGTGAATTTCACATCTATAAGGGTGAATTTGCATATGTCACTGGAATATAAAAAGAAATTAGTTACTTCTGGTAAAGGCAATAAAGATAGACCTTGATAAAGGTTCGTTCTCCTTAATTGAGGGAAGTGATAATGGTATAATGGGCTAAGGGTGAACAACAAAAAAAAAGAGAAAAGTGGAACAATGTACACATAGTTTCAGTGATGTTTTCCTAGACTGTGATTTTTTAAAGCATTAATGGTAAAATAACTCTAACAGCTTCAATGTTGGCTTGCCATTTTCCCAAATGCCCATAGTAAAAAAAGCTAACAAAAATTTTATGTCACCATATATAGAAACTATCAATAAAAGTATGTCAACAAATGAATTTGTGTTTTAGGAAGGTCCCACCCAGAAAAACAATTATTGCCAAACCCTTAGTATTTTCACTTGCTTAGTCACGGAGGCAGTGCCTAGCTGAGATTAGCCCTCTGTTGTAAATCCTTGCCTTTATTTTGGGATGAGTGCCAATCAGTTACTGTTGGGAAAACCACTGGATGACTAACTTCAGATGTGCTTACATTAGAGACTAATACACCTTGAAATGTCACATCTTTAACTTGAATTTTTTCATCTGAATTCTAGCTATTATTTGGAATGGAAATAATGACAAATAAATTTGAGATTAGTCAAAATATGAACCTAATAGAGAACTTCATATCACACAGAAGGGGACCTCCTTACCATTAACTTGAACTGATGAGGCATTTATTGGCAAGGCTCTTAAATTCCTCATCTTCTGATTTAAGAAGTTTTGAATTTTCTTCTCTCTTACTGCCCTTTGCTCAGTAGAGGGGAACTGGAACACCATAATGACATCTGCTTTCACACCATCTTCCTCTGGACTATGCCACACAAAAGAAAGGTACATTTTCAAAGAATACACCTAGAATTGTCCTTCAGCGTTTCCTGTATCTTCCTCCCTTGAATGATCCCTCACTTGCTGAGAGTGTCAAGTGCTGATTGTCTCATGTCATTCTGACCCAAGGTCATTTAATATGTTCCCTCTTCTAGCTTTCATTATGTTTTCAGTGCATTTCCCCCAATTAATTTGAAGGATTGTTACAGAAGCTAGGAATGACAGACGTAAAAAATCATCATCAAAATTATAAGCTTTGAGAGTGTAGAAGAAACCTTCGTGTTTTCTTAGGCTAATCAACTGTGTATTTGATACCTGTATCACTTCTACAGGGTCCATGACAAATGGCCCTCTAATGACAGTGCAATAATTAAAAAGATAGTAAGTTTAATTTTCTAAAGAGGCTTGTTTCTCTTTGGTCAGCTCTGAGTTCATCGTTTTGAGTTGAAATATGTCTCCCTATATCTCCCATTCCATAAGGCCTAGGTCCACCAGTTGGAACAAACATAAAATAATTTCCTCCTCTAGCCCAAATATTTGAAGACAACAATATTGTGGTCCCTGAGTCTTCTCCAAATTAAACATGCCCAATTTCTTGAACTTTTATAATATAAACAGATTCAAGTTCTGTTACCTGAGGAACTAAACTTTTAAATACTCTTAAAATAGGAAAACCAATTACAGTTAAAAAAAAAACCCTGAAACTAATATATATTGATCTGTTATCTCTCCTATTGTTTTTAAACAAACAAACAAACAAAAAAAAAAACTGCAAAAAACACTAGAGGCCCATCTCCCTGAATCTTTTTTGGCTAAAAGGAAATTCTGAGACAATTTATGTAATTTTGTTCATTTAGGCTCTGGAAATATAAAGATCTAAATAACTAGAATTTTATATCAAATTGGCAAACAGATGACTAATTTTACTTCTTAAATCTGAGGAATTAACATTTTTACCAAGTATTATATAGTGATGATGGCTACCATCCAAAGGACTTCACGAGAGTATGATAATGTTGCTACAATAATATGGTAAATGAGAATTTGAAAACAGAAAACATGAAATCTAGAAAGTTTTAGTATTTATATGCTTTTTCTCTCCTAAGTATTGTAGAAATTACCCAATTTATGTTATAAAATCCTTATGGAAGTCACTACTCAGTAAAGACATAGAGAACTTTGGAGTACACCTGCCAACAAAGCATTATTAGTCTATTGGTAAGAAAGTGATAATTATTTTCTTCAAATAAATCAAAATCTGAATATATTATTTTTCTTTATCTTTAAGAAATATGAGTCATACAGGTTCATGCATTTATGTATATGACATGTATGTTCTACTATGTAATTTTTCAAAATAACACAATTGAAACTTCTGAGCAATATCTACAACTGATATGAGTCTTCCCCCTCCACCACAACAAAGAGAAAATTTATTACAACAGGAATATATTTTTGTTTAGGCATGCCTCATGTCGTTAGTTTTCATTAATTTGTGATCCCATTTTGTAGCCAAGTTTGCCTGCTTAACATGTTTGAAATAATATAGTTGTCAAAAGAATACAACTTGGTGCATGCAATGACAAGCTGCTGGGGTTTTCCCCAGGTCACGGGTTCTGGTAAGTTCCAGGCCTCACAATAAGTTGATGGGGTTTGATTCCTGGTTCTGTCACTTTGGGAAACTGTCAGTTGGGGAACTTTGAACATATTTCTTACCCTCCCTGAATCTTAGTCTTTTTGTTGACAAAATGGTGGTCAGCCTTATACTCAAAGACTGCTTTAAAGACAATGTTTATGAAAAATTGTAGCCAAAAGCCTAGTCCATAGAGACATACAATACATGAGGGTCCCTGTCTCCTTTGTTCCTTTTCCCTCCAGTCTTGTGATTCCACTTTTGCCCAACCATACATACGTCAGTCTGACTACTTGGTTCTTGATATAGTTCTTCTTCCAGGCTGAATCTATAAATATCTCATCCACCTGTTATATAACAAGAGGGAAGCTACGTGTTAGTAATATCTTTTATAATAAGAATATGTCTTTGATTAATGTTAAAGCAATGGAAAATTTTTTAACAGAACTAATATCATTATTTAAATTGGTGGATCTTAGCCTTCACAGTGCAACAGAATCATTTGCTGAATTAAAAAAAATTGTGGCCGGGCGCAGTGGCTCACGCCTGTAATCCCAGCACTTTGGGAGGCCAAGGCGGGCGGATCATGAGGGCAGGAAATCGAGACCATCCTGGCTAATACGGTGAAACCCCGTCTCTACTAAAAATACAAAAAATTAGCCGGGCGTTGTGGTACGCGCCTGTAGTCCCAGCTACTTGGAGGCTGAGGCAGGAGAATGGCGTGAACCTGGGAGGCGGAGCGTGCAGTGAGCCAAGATGGCGCCACTGCACTCCAGCCTGGGCGACAAACCGAGACTCCGTCTCGAAAAAAAAAATTTATGGATGCCAGAGACCCTCTCCAATAATTTTGATTTTGATTGGTCTAGAGGGGACGTAGGCACTCATATTTTTAAAAAAACCTACCCAAGTAATTCTACTGTGCTAGAGCAGGTTTCTGGAGTAGAAGGTATCTTGCTAAAACACGATAGAAGGAGTAGCAGGGAGATACAGAGCAGAGATGGGATATTCAGGGAGGCTTTGAGTGGTGACAAAGAAAACCCTGCCTCAGTCCTGGATCTGAGCCTATGCTACTGCTCACAAACTGGGCAACCTTGGCAAAGTTACTGAATCAATTTGAGCCTCAGTTTTCGAACCTGTAAAACAAAGATATTGGTCTGCTACTCATAAGGCTATGAAGGTTAAACACATATAAAATGCTGGGTAAGATTTGATAGTTAATTGCTGATGGTCCTCTAGCCTCCATCCTGGCATTATAGGTCTTAGCTCTGCAGGTCTTCACTTATAACGGGTAAGGAGGAGGCATTAGGGATTTAGGAGAGAGCCAAACTTTTAAAATTGTTGTTGATTGTGGACCCTAGGGTAAATCAGGGAGGAAAAAAGGATTAGGTGGTATTCCAGTATTAGCTCAAATTTGTTACTCAGTTTATGTCACCAAAGTCGGAGAAGCAAAGCCACTGCTTTTAGTTCATATGCCTGGCTTTAATCTACTGCCACAGTATTGTGATGCTGTGGTCTATCACACCTGGCATTTGGCTTGCAGTATCCCCTAGCACTCACTTCGTAGAAATAGTGTCATCTCAATGTGGGATGGGGAACTACAGTTCATGTTGGACAGAGGAACCAAATGTGCACACAAAATATCCTAAATTCTCAAGGAATGAGAAGAAAAACCGTCATGACTGAAACACACACACACACACACACACACACACACACACACACACACACAAATATCGGGAAAACTGTTTCAGGGATCAAGAAACAAGTTATAACTTCCTTAGCACACTCAGGAATTCATAAATACTTCATCAGGAACTGAATTATTTGATTTCTTCTTTAACTCTTATTCCGTAAAATAAGAAATATTTTCATTCCTATTAGAAATCTGTGACTCAGAGGCAGTATGTGAATTTCCCTGGCATCATGCAGATACTAGTAAGCTGGGACTGAAACCCAGGTCTTCTATCTGTAGGGTGCTCCTCTTCCCACTCAGTCACACAACCACCCTGTTAAATGTGATGTAAATTTTACTTCAGTTTCTTTCATAGAACACATAGTAATAAGTTATCAAATAATTTATTAGCCTAAAGTATAAAACTTGTAGAGATATAGATTTGGTAATAGCCTTAAACTTAAGATCAAAGATAGCATTTAGAAAATAAATTGCTAGTATCCAAAATATGTCTTTATTGGTACTTAAAGAAAGAAAGCCTAAATGGGCTGAGGTGGTGTGGGGCTTATATGCTAGAAACAAAATTCTTTTGGAAGACATGTTTTTGAAAGGGTGACTTTGTTATAATAATTTCTCTCTCATCACCCACAGCCAGCTCTACTACTCAGTATGGAGGCAGAGGAGTCCCCCCTCTACAAAAAAAAAGGCAAACAAAATGGAACAGGGAGAAAAGTGATACAATTTAGAAGGAAGAAAAGTAAATAGCAGTTGGGTATTTAAAGAAGTTTGTTTTGTAATTACCCTCTGAATAAGTTCAATCACAATTGATTCCTGGCCATTTGTAACTTGTTGGTGAAGGCATTGGATTAAGTTTTTGACTCTGGATAACATCATCAATCTGGCAAGGTGCCTGCTATGAATATCTAAACCAAGCATCAATTTTATCTTTGAATGGTTAGGTTGTCTGGGAAGATAGGAGCTGAAAAAATAACATAAGAAGAATCTAGGCAGAAGAAAGTTTGGTGATCACAATAATAAAAAGGATTCTTCTTTATAAAATTCTAGGACCCTCTCTCTAGAAAAGTCTCATTTACTAGATCTGAGGAGGGCTTGGAATCTTTAGGTGATACAGGTAGTGTGAGGACAACGCCTTGAGAAATGGGGTAGAGGGACTGGTAAAAAGAATTCTTATAAAATGAATTTACAACAGGAGGAAAATCAGAAAAAACATGAACATAAGTTTTATTGTTGAATGGAGCTTATGTATAAACTAGCTTTCTAAAGACCTGGAAATTGTTTCCATGGCAGATGATGGCTTTCATTATTAGAAGCATTCTTTCCGCCAATGTTCTGGCATTCCAAGTTCCCAGAAGTTTCAGAGAAACTTATACATTTAAAGCTGTGTGCCAGCTTGTTATAAATCTATATCTATGCAACCTAATAGCATTAGCAGTTTGTAAATCTATCCTACCTCCTTCTTTAGGGCATTTCTAGAATTTTGTACTTGGAGTTTGTCTCCTAGCATTGAACAGAAGACCCTCTTTCAGGGTAGTATCTCTTTCTGCTTGATGATTTTGACATGCTAGAAATTACACTGAGATTAAGTTCCAAGAGGGCAATTGAAGATTAGTTGGGTGTTTAATGAAAGAGTGAGGGAGAGGCTGTCAACTCAAACAAACAGACTCGCCCAGCCATTCAGCTCTCATTCCTGAATTAACTCTGTTTATACATGTTGCCTGCTTTTCTCTGCAGATGTTTCCTGGCTGGCTCCCCTTACAGCAGTCTATATATTCACTTAGGGAGTGTTTTGTGGCTAACACTGCAAACCGCAGGTACATATGTCACCAAAGACTGGCATATGGAATGTAAATGAAATATAAAAGCTGTTTTTTCCAACATAACACCAGGTGAGCTCCTTAGCATTAAAGAAACCAAAACTATGCTGTGAAAAAAACTTTACATCCTATTGCTTTCTCCTAATTATAACATGAGTAATATGCAAAGGATATTATGTAAGAGGGCTTTTAAAAAACACTTTTCGCCTTAAATAAAGCTTCACTGAAGTTTCATTGCCACAAGGATTGAACTCAAGGTAGAAATAGAGAATTTGAGCTTTGGAGCCTCTGTTCACAATGTCAGACATTCAAGGTCCTCTCCCTCTGTGACAAACCTGCCCGGCCCCATCTTCAACACCACCAGTTCTTTCAGGCGTGGCCCTCATTTTCCTGCATACTCGCCCCTCTCAGGCTGTTCCTTTGGTCTGTAGCAACCTTCTCATTCTGCAAGTTCTATGTTCCTGAATCACAACTATCCTTCAAGGTCAATCTCAGATAATACCTTCTTTGGGGATATTCATTAATCTCAAACTAATCTGTCTTCCTTCTGTCTCAATTTTTCTAATTCCTCTTACGCCTTCTATTCTTTAATGTAGACATTCATTATATATTTATGCAATATATTCACTATATATTTATTCAAATATATAGTCTCTTTTGTTAAATGGCAAACCCTTTATGCATAGAGCTGGCAATTTATCTTTTCATACTCTAGAAAATAGCATAGTGATTTGCATGTGTTGGTTTGAAGTATATTTTTGTTGAATAAACAAATGAATAAAAAGGTGAGAATTTATTTATCAGAAAGTTTTGCATTTACCAGGAAAATTTTACAAGACTTTTTAAAGTGTTTGCTTTACATCAGGTTGAGATCAATGCTCCTAGAAAAAAAAGAAAATTGCACATGAATTATTGGAAGGGATTTTTTTCCCTGTTTGTGGACATTTTCAGGTAATTGATTATTTGTGGAAGGCTCCTCCTTGGTAAGACTGTAATAATTATAATAGTAGGAATCACTGTTGTCTGCCATATATGCACCAAGCACAGACGTCATTGTGTTTGAACTCATTTGCTTTCAAATCAACCCTCTAAGGTGAGTACTATGATTATCCACATTTCATAGAAGAGGAAGTGACTTGCCCAAGTTGACACAGCAGTGAGCCACAGAGCTCACTGAAACAAGGGCCATGTAGCTTCAGAGCCTGTTAATGCCTTCATAGTGCCTGCCTCAAGATGAGCATGCAGGTAGGTTCTCACTAAGACCTCCTACCCACTGATGGACAGCAAGCAGTTTGTAAGTGGATCAGAAACTGTTGCACCCCTCTCCAAAGGCAGCCTATTTTCTTTACTCCCCAAAAATAAGAACCATAACCTTGGTAGTTTTTACTGCAATCCTTTAAAATTTGTGTCATATCCATATAAAACTCCAGGTGTTTTTTTGATCCAAGAAGTCAGCTATGAACCATTCTCTCAGGCCTGGATAGAGGTTAGTCAACCAGAGCACTGAGTGATGTTCACAGAATTTTGAGGCTTATTAGCCTTCTTGGGGTCAGGTCTAACTGACCAGTGTCATACATGCTGTGTGGGTGTGGAGGATGCCATGAAACTGTGACTTTCAGATCACCCTAAACAAAGAGGTAATCAGATCATCAAATGGGATGTGATACTTTGTGATGCCATCAGTCATTTCTTTGATTGCACTGGTCCTTCTTCAATGTTTCTTTGTGGAATGTCAGAAGGAAATGGACAGACATCTGTGACTAATCACATGTAACAAGTAGCAATATATGAGATATCCATATCCCAAATTGGTTTACATTTCTGAAATTATGAGGCAAAA